CATTAATGAAAAAGGTGATTTTTTTTTCTTTACCTTTTTAGCTCAATGAATGTCTATTCCTTATTTCCATATTCTCGCAAAATTCTTATATCAAATATGCTCTAAATTTGTGGTTGTCAAAAATAAAATTGTTGGGGGGCCTGAATTTATTAACATAAACCTTTTCTAATATGGAGATTGTGAAAATAGTTAAAGAGGCAAATTAGTTTTAAAAGCTACAGACTAAAAACTCAGCAAATGTCAAATATGTGTGCTCTGACCTCAGATGCTTTCAAATGGCATAAAATAAGCTCTGTTTTGAAAAAAAAAATAGCAGTCATTTAAATCCAATGATCTTTATTTTTTAAGTCTTATTATTGATAGAAGAGACATATATCAAAACTTAAATATCTCTGAAGGTAAAAATTTAACTCAAAACTCTAAACCTCTTTATTATCTAAGGTCTTTGAGTAAACAAAATAAAACAAAAAGACATTTAAAGTAATACAAATGTGAGGGAAAAAGCAGATATACTAACATACTAGAAAAGTAGATCTGCATTTTCTGTCAGAATAATTCTTGTTCTACATTTAACTCAAGAAAGCTAGACTATTGACATCAGACATACATAAACTCCATTTATCAGCGCCAAGGGACACTTTCAGAAGGCAGCGAAGCACCTGATTGAAAAAATAAAACTCGGGAACTATGTACAAAAAATATAAAACCATACATGCAAAGCTTCTGAGTTGCAGTTTCTGAGTTGCTCTAAAAGGAACATCATATAAACTAATTTTTAATTCTAAGTTAGTTAAAGGACCGATATTAGTTTACAGAGAATTAAAACAGGCTTTGAATCTGCTTAATGAAGGCTAATGAACAACAATTTTTTATTATATATATTTAAATTTATAGAATTTAAATTAAATACATATTAAAATTAAATTAAGTATATATATTAGTTATAGATGGACACAATGCCTGTATTTTGTTTATTTTTATGTGAGGCCAGGATCGAACCCAGTATCCTACTCAAGTTTGGCAAGTGCTCTACCACTGAGCCACAACCCCACCTCCAACAATTTTATTTTTGACAACCACAAATTTAGAGCCTGCATATCAACATGAAACTTTTCTAATATGGAGATTGTGAAAATAGTTAAAGAGGTAAACTAGTTTTAAAAGCTACAGACTAAAAACTCAGCAAATGTCAATTTTCTCTTATATCAAATATAAAGAATGTAACAACCAATATTCTGGAAATGCATACAACATTTAGGTTACTGAATGAAGGTTATAGATACACTGATAGCTAATTTAAAGTACTAACAGGATTTATGCTCAATTTAAAATAACAGCAGCATCAACAAAAAATCTTCGCAATGTTTAGGTCATTTAAAAAAGATGCCAGTATAGAAATCTGCAAAAGATAATCCATAAATAGGTTATTAGCCATTTTTATATAATCTTCTATTTCTCTTGGCTGGTCTCAGGCCTGCAAAAAGGAAAGAAATAACAAATAAAATTAAATTTCTTGAGTTTAAGAATTCTGGCAATACATTTTAAATAGAATTTATTATAAACCTCTTAGCACTCGGCTAAAATGCAGTCTAGACATTTTGTGCTTAGGCTCACTTTCCAAATCTATTGAATTTCATAATCTATTGAACAACTAATATTTTGGCCAACCAGTGCCGGTAACACCTGGTATTTTGCCAAACCAGAAATATCATACACAATGTTTTAGTTAATTCTACATTGCTGTGACCAAAATACCTAACAAGAGCAAAGTAGAGGAAGGAAATGTTATTTGGGGCTCACGATTTCAAAGGGTTAAGTCCATAGACAGCCAATCTCATTGCTCTGCACCAGGTGATGCAACACATCCTGGGGTGGGGGCCAGTTAAGGGAAAAGGCTCAAGAAACAGAGGGGCACGGTGAGGGGACAGGCAGAAGAAAAAGGCCACAGATAAGATGTACCCTTCCAGGGCACACAACCGTCAACCCACTTCCTCCAGCCATGCCTCACCTCCTAAAGCTGCCACCCAGTCAGTCCATTCAACCTAAAATGGACTGATTAGGTTACAGTTCTAGTAATCTACTCATTTAACCTCTGAATATTTATTTGCTCATCAACAGGAGCTTTGGGGGGACACACCCTATCCAAACCATAACATTTCATTCCAGTTCCCCAAAGATCATGTCCATTTCACAGTGCACAATGCATTTGGTCTGTCTGGAAGAGCTCCAGGGATCTAAGTTTCAGCACTGTCCAAAGTACAGTTTCAGCTGAGACTCAGGACAAATTTTTGCCTGTGAGCTCCCATAAAACTCTGAAGCAAATTACATATATGCAATAGACACTGACATAAAATAAGCATTCTCATTCCAAAAGGAATGCATAGAGGCCTAAGAGAAAGGAATGGGCCAAAATAGACTGAAACCCGGGTGAGAAAACCGGTCCCATAATTTCACCTCTAACTCCTTCTACAGTTTTGAGATGTTAGCTCCCAAGGGCTGGGGCAGCCCAGCCCTTGGGCCTTTCAGGGTCAATGCTTATGGACTGGCTTTAGCCTGGCTTTCTCCTCAACCAGAAGCTTTTCTCAGGAGACAGGTTACATTATTCCTATCCCATTTTCTGGGGTTTTCATTCGGCGTCCCCTCCACAGCTTCACGCAGCATCCTCTTAGGGGCAAACTGCAGGGACTTCAACCCTACGCCACCGTGCCTGGCCTCCCAGGCGTTCCTTTGGAATCTGCGTGGAAGGCTGCAGGGCCTCCCAACTCCAGCATCCTTGGTTCCTGCAGAAGCAGCCACACAGGGATGGTGCCAAGGTGACTCACAGGAGAGGTGAGGGTTCATCAGTGGGAGAGGTGAGTAGAGCAGCAGGAGCTGTGTCCGCAGGAGAAAGGGGAGGGGGCTCCCAGGGATCCCCAGACCCCGCTGGCACAACCGGCCCGACTCTTCCCACCTGCTCGCAGCCAGGTGGGACCTTCTGCCCGCCCGACGGAACCCCAGCGGCAGACTGAGATGAGTGCGAGGCGCCGGGGAGCCAGTGACGCGGGGGCACGCGTGAGGGTCGGTGGCCCAGCAGACCGGAAACGTGCCGGGAGGGGCAGACGGGGACGTGCAGACGAGGAGGGGCCGACCGGGAGGTCCGGGCGGGGAGGGGCCGACGGGGCGGCGGCGGCGGCGGCTGCAGGGGGGAGACGCGGTCCGCGGGAGGGGAGGACTGGAAGGTGAGGCTGAGAGAAGCTCCGAATCTGAGAACGAGGAAGAAACAGTGGGAAAGAGGGTCCCCGGCGAGGAAAACGTTGGCCGTGGGCCGGGCAGGCGGAGGGCAGGGCGGGCGAACCGCTAAGCCTGGACGCTTTGCCCACTTCGGCGACGAGACCGTCGGGCTCAGTGGGGTTACAATCAGAAGCCCCTTCTGGGGCGCTGTGACCCGTGTATCTGAGGTCTCAGGAGAGGACTCCGTGTTTCCCACGACCTTCGGGCACCCTCGCGGGTGAGACCCCAGTTCCGCCCGCCCCCACCTGAGGAACCAGGGCCAGTGCCGGTGGAGGCGTCCCTGCGGCCTCCGGGCCCAGAGAGGGAATGGCTCCCCCTGGAACTGGGACCTCGCCACAGTGCCCGGGCCTTGAACGGGCAGGGTCCAGGGCACTCGTGCGACTTAGGATGGACCCCACCGTCGGAAAGGGGCTGGCAGATCCGGGAAACGGGGACTTACCCCACTCCTGGCGGCCGGATGAAGGCAGAGGGAAAGAGCAGCTTAGACATGTCCCCGTTTCAAGGGAGAAGGGATGGACTTCAGTCCCCTGCAGGAGAAGCCCCCCAAATCCATCCCGGGTCTTGGCACCAGATATGAGGTCAGGCAACGGGCAGCAATCAGGAGGCCGATTTGAAAAGACAGATGAAAGAGGCTTTACTGAGACTCACTCCCAGGGAAGAACTGGATCAGACAGAGTGGACAGGACTGGGGTCTCAGGAGAAACCGGTGGGAGCATGACTGGATTGGAATTCTATGGGGCTTACAGCAGGAAGGGAAGGGCTTGGGACAGCAAAAGGTGTTTTTAGAGTCCCTTGTCTCGCTGGAGTTGGTGGGGGGGGGGATCTAGCTGAAATCCAAGATTGGCCAGGAGATCCCACTGATTGACAGGCGTTTCCATCAGAGCCTGATTTATGTTCGCATGAGTTGTCTGGTGCTTTGTTCCTAAGTCACTGCCACCCACCTGACACAACCGATGGCCCATTCAAGTGGCCTCAAGTGGCCTGGGATGTGATCATGCTCCCCTTCTGTCCTAGAGACAGGCCTGACCAAGGTCCCAGATCCCAGGATTTTACCTGTATCCTGATGATTGTGCAGCTATTGGTCCAACTCTCCAAGGAGTAGGTGGCAATGGCTGCTGGGAAGGAACAGGTCCCCCAGGTAAAGGAAATCCCAAACTATCCGGTGTCACCATCTCCTTCGACTTGAGGGGCACAAAGGGCCAGCATGATTGTCACTTCCCAGTCAGGGAACCGAAATATTGCGGGAAACAAAGTATCAACAAGCAGCCAGCAGCACTGGGAGAGGAGGAGAACTCCAAACTTTATTTACACCAACAGGCCTCCCCAAAACCCCCAAAACTACAAATCCTGAGCCCTGACCCACAGTTTCTCATAATCTTATAAGTTGTTTGATGTCATCTTAGACCCATCCTATCACTGGGGCTTTTTTCTCTTAAAAAAAAAAAAAAATCCTAATCTGTGTGGCTGAAGGCCTTGTGCAGGGTCTCTAAATGAAGCATGCTGACAGAAACAGGTAAGAAGAAAGGGCTCTTTTCACAGGCATCTATTATATTTCAAGGGGAAGTAGTCAGAATCCCAGGGCAGATATTTACAACCCAAAAGGTAGGGACCCAAAGTTAATTAGACTTCCTAGAGGGGAGTGGAACTAATTCCTTTCCCAGGCCTTGGTTTCTTACCATAAGGTTTTTGTAATTTCATTTCACAAGCGGGTCTGGTTTTGCCATCACACCTGGGCTTGGCCCTGACTGTCTTCCCCCATATTTTACATCTTCTTCCCTCTGTGTGTGTTCGTCACCATGTTCAAATCTCACCTTTTTATAAAGACATCAGTTATGTTGGATTAAGACCCACTGTAATGACTTCATTTTTAACTTTATTCAGCAAAGGACCTATTTACAAATAAGTTTATACCCAGAAAGATGAGGAATTAGGACTCCAGTTTATCTTTTCTGGGGGGATGAAACTAACCTATATGACTCACAAAAACTTGCATTCCAGGAATTATGTTATCTTCTGGGGCACCAGAGCATTATAGTTCTGTGTGAGTGATCAGGTATGATTTAGACACCTCATAAAAAGAGAAGGAATAGTTATTTTATCCACATTTCTGTTCTTGCTATTTTTCATTCCTTCTTGCTGATGTGCCAAGATGCTTTCTCTTACCATTCTTTCTCTTTCCACTGCTAGCTCAGTGGTGCATCACAAGGAAGCATCTTTACCCACCAACTTGCTTAAACTCTCCTACTCTCTGTATTTCAGTCGGTTTGGGATGCATCCTGGGAACGTGAATGTATGACAGACTCCCAGATGCTGATGCTTCTTGGTCTATGTTAGGGTAGCTGGTGCAAATATCCAAGAGAGACACATCTTTGAGTTCAAGCAAAGGTTTATTAGCAGAGAGTATCCACTAGGCTGTCCTTCTGCCAGGCACAGTCACTTCAATAGAGATTTTTACATCTTTTTAAAACAAGGAACAGGAGCAATCTGGAAATGACCTTGGGTGCAGGTGGCTGGGTAAGGATAGATCTTTGTATTTAGAGACCCTGTAGGGGAGGGGTTATAGGAACAGGGTATCTTAAGTTTCTTTTTCTTGGTTGTTTATAAGTTTTAGTTCTGAGTCCCAGAACCAAAATGGAGTTACTAATGTATAGGGACCTAACAGTCTGTGGGCACCATTTTGATTTCTCCTGCTTCACAGTTTGTACAAGAGCACAGCAGCCTGGATACCAGCAGCAGACCTGCAGGTCCCTGCCTGTCAAAAATTTTACTTGACTTACCCAGCTCCCAGCAGGGAATTCTCAACTGCACTATGACATGGCTTCCACTGCTTCTCCTCTTCTCCTTTCTTGGCTCTTCACAGAGCTATGCCTGTCTGGAAGACCCAGAAGGTGAGTTGCCATCTAGGATGCCCAGGGTTCTTTCCATACCTTCTCAGATGCCCTGGACGCCACCCACTTCAAATAGCTCCTCTGGTGTGGAAATTTTCCAGGCAGCAGTTGTTTCTCAGCAAGGACCCTGCTCTTTCCCTTAGAGGATAAAGCAAATAACATAATTTTTTAAAGTTCTGAGGTCCTTTAGCTCCAATTGTGGGAATCTGTGCAGAATGTCTCCTGTGCCTAAACTAAACGTAAGGGCAGCGGTAAGCCAACAAGGCACAGCTGGAGCCACAGAGCCAGCCTGGACCAGAGTCAGGATCATATTTGGAAAGAGTTGGGAAAGGCTCAGGAAGAGATAGAGCCAAAGGAGGTGTCCCTACAGCGTAGTAGAATGCAGGAAATGAAGGATGGGTTGGGGCAAGAGGAGAATTTCAGTGTGATCATGAATTATGTGGAGGGAGGGAACTGGGCCGAGTTAAGGTGGCACCCTGTGAAGGGATCTGGGGACTGAGAGGAGTCAGGGAGGGCCAGGTTAGAGGAGACCTAAAGTGCACAGCAATCTGTTATCTATTTTAAATGGGTATATGAAAAAGAAAGAAGAATTTCCTAGCAAAGTTTCAAAGCTGTGTGTTGCTAAAAATTCACGCTTGGTTTTTACCACTTGTTGCATAGCATGGCAGAGTCAGGAATGAAGTCCATGGAAAAGCAACCTTAGTTGAAATTGGGATTATTCCTCCCTGAGGATGCTACTGAAATCTTCACGACATAACCTGATTGATTTCTGTGGGTTCAGAGTTATCCACCTTTGTGAACTCCCATAATATACTCAATACCTATTTGCAGATAGAATAATAAGTTCTTCAGAAGATGTTGAGAATCTTAAATCTCTCTTCTGTGCAAATTGTCCAGCATGATTCTTGGTCCAGAAATGCAAGATGTATTTCATTTCCCATTTATCCCCTTAATGAAGAGTCAGACTTGAACAAATTTGAGACTACCTTTGAGGAACAAAGGTAGAATCTGGGAGCTGGAAAGCCCTTCACCTGCAGGAAGAGGTCGACCTAAGGCATCTGCAACACTTCAGTAGAGAGGAGATGCCTAATGAAGAACAGCGGGCCAGACATGGCCTCAGCTGGAGTGTTGTTGGATCAGAGCTGCGATTTGGAAACCTTTATCTAGAGCCAATATGTAGGGTATATTAGATGGGGGAGGGGGGAAAAGAAAATGCCTGCAGTGGAGAAGTTGCCGCGTGGAAGAACATAAGAGGGAAAAGGAGTAAGACAGCGTGGAGTTCTCATTTCAGAGGCCAAAAGACTCTCCTGGACTAGTGGTATGGAAATGCAAAATCTTATTTAGAGAAAGAAACAAACAAAAAACAGGAATCTAGAGTTTCTTTCCTTTTAAAAATATTAATATTTGATTCTAATCTCTTACTGTTAGGGCAAATCAGATACACTTTCAGGTCCCATCTGGCCCATGGATGTCCAGTTTCTTACCTTAGGCTGGAGAGTATGCACCTCTGAACCTGTTGATTGAAAATACTGGAGAGGGATGAGGATGTGGCTCAGTGATAGAGCACTTGCCTACCATGTGCAAAGCCCTGTTCAGTCCCCAGAATTGCAAAATGATTTTTTTTTTTAAACGAAGCACTGAAAATGCAGTAGGTAAGTCTGTGTAGAAGACAAATAGGCTGTTTAATTTATATGTCTAGAAAGAGGGTACAGGTCAAGGTTGGAAATACCCCATAGAACAGGTCTCTCTCTACACAGGATGAGTCTCTCTCTTATCCTCTCAGGGCCATTTAGCAAGTTCTGAAGACATTTTGTGTTGTTAGAGCTGAGAAGTGCTACTAGAACTTAATGCCTAGGGTCCAAAGATGCAGCTAATCATTGCACAGAAATCCATTCACAACCATAACCTGGCCCCAGATACTAGCAGTGCTGAGACTGAGAAGCCCTGGATTAGAAAACTGTTTGTAGGGGGTTATCAGTTAAAGTGTGGGAGATGAATTAGGCACAGAAAGAAGAAAACAGAAGAGAAAGAAAGCAGCTGTATATGGGATGAAGTGAGTGTTTGGGAAGCAGCTCTGTGAAAGCTCGGGAAGAAGAGCCAGGCACAGACAGGCTCCTGAGAGGGAGTAAATCACCAAGAGGAGCTGCCAGGTTCTGATCCTGTTACTCAGTAACTCTCTTTCTGTTTTGTTTGTGGACTAATTAGCACCAAGGCTCCATTTGGCTCTGTGTCTTTTGAGTAAGGATTTATTTTACCATGGTTTATAACCTTGAAGAAAATGTGTCCTAGCCAGAGGATCATAGGAGACCTGTGGGCCTTGGTAAATAGCCAGGCTTCCCAGGAGTCATAAGTTCCTTGAGTGGCTCTGGGTGGGGCTTGTGCTCTCCAGAGATGACCCCTCTGTGGTGCTACTACCCATGTCTTGATTTCAGAGTCATCTTCCCTCCACATTCTCTACACTACCATAGCTCCATTGGTCAAATACAATACTGAGACGAAGGCCCTTGCATATGTGAACAATCAGCTCTTTCTGAAATTCGACAGTAGGAACCAGAGCATTCAACACTGGGGTCTGTGGGAGACGCTGGAAAGTTCCATGGAGTGGAGAGAGTTGGTACAGAATGTGAAACTCTTTGGGAGGGAATCCTTGGTGTTGCTGTGGGACATGAAGCAGCGCAGCCAGCAGCCTGGTGAGTAGGAAAATGAGCCCTGAAAGTCAGTGGGGACAAGACTCCAGGAGGGTGAGGTGCTCCATCCTCCTCTAGGCCCCTGTTTCTCAGGAGCATATTAAAGTCTCAAGACACCATCAGAGTCAGCTCTGCTGCCACGGGGGTAGGGAGGGGGGTAGTCCTCTCTGCCCTAGAGTCCTCTTTCTGTGCTTAATGCATCTCCATTTTGCAGAAGACAGAGGAAGTTATGCTCCTTTTTGGGCTTTGGGGCACCAGGGCCTCATATTTTGCAGATGGCTCTGGGCTGTGACCTCAAGGAGAATGGCAACTTCAAGAGCTTCTGGAAATACAGCTACGAGGGACAGGACTACCTCACATTCCAGCCAGCAACACTCTGCTGGAAGGCTGATGCTCCTGAGGCCCAAAGCATGGCACAGAGTTTGAGGAAGGATAGAGACTTGGCTCGGCATCATGGTGCCTTTATCAATGGTGACTGTCAGCACTATCTTCAGAAGTACCCAGGACCTGGGAAGAAAGCTTTGGTGCCATCAGGTAACTATCCCTCTAATGGAATCGGTTAGACTAGCTTTGGCCTGAGACTCTCCATGCCTTTGCCCCATTTTTAGGTGAGGGAAGCCAGTGTCCATCAGAAATTCACTGTGGCTCAGTGTCTTGCCCTGTGGTCCATTGTGGCTGGGTCTCGGTTCTGTCAGAGCAGGGATTGGCCTGAGGGCATGGGGGAGGCAGACAAGAAAGGGAGGAGCAATCCCTGACCAAACTCACAAGAAACTGAACAGGGACCTCAGTGACATTTACTTCATGGTCTCAGCACCAGCTCCCTGGAATGGAATTCATGTTTCAGTTTGAATGAGGCATCTGCTTCCTGACTGGAAATTCAACATGAAAAACCAAAGTACCCTGTTTTCCTTTGATGAGGTAGAGAGTCAAAACCTGGTAAATTGTATACATTTAAAAGTACCCCTTCACCTCAGGCAACTGTTCCTCCCTGCACCAGCCTCAGTAAATTCCAAGTTAAGTTATTTTGGGGACCAGGGCACAGGATGTCACTCATGGTGGTTTTGTTTCTCCTAACTCCTTTCTGAGTATTCGTGAAGCTCCCTTCTCCTGTCTTGCACACCCTTCCTACTGTCGTGTTTAAGCAACCGTGGATTGGACTGCAGGTTGTGCTTAGATTGTTACTAGAACAACTTCATGCCAGATGACAGGCCACAGGAATGCAGAATCTGGATGGAGGTCACACAGCCACACCTCACACTGAGCTAGCTGTGAGGAATGTGACCACTAGGCAGAGTTCAGTTGCTTCCAGGGACTTGACCTTGGAGAGGCTCCTGCTCTAGACTGAGTGGGCACTTAGGGGACTCAGGATTCACAATTCATATCAGTTGGATTGTAGGAGAATTAGTACTAAGTACTTTAGCTTCAGAAATTATTTCCCGACCTAAAAATCTCTGGTCATTATGCACAGTCAAGCAAGAGAGGTGACCCAAAGTTATTCTGGGGAGGCTGACGGCCTCACAGCTATTTAGGGTACACACTTAGGTAAGTGTCTCTTAACCTTGTGATGTGTAGATTTAACCTAATAAGTTATAAAGTAAATCAAACCCATTATGTTAATATTTTATGTTAAGAAAGAACATATGCATATTTCATATTTTAAGTATTTCAGATAATTAAAAGACTGTGACTGATATAAGGTTATAGTTGAGATAGCAATTATCCTTGTGATTTTTATTTTGATATCTTACTGAGTTTAGAAGCACTTTTAGAATATTTGAGAATATTTAGGACTCATCATATGAAGGATGAGCTTAGACTTTTAAAAGGTACTGAGGCACTTGGGTGGTTATGTTAATTGAACATTTAAACACTTTAGAAATCTAATATATCAAATTTATAGTCACAATCGAAAAGTTTAAAAAATGTTATTAAATTGCAAATCCCTATCAAAAATGATTTAAGTATTTAAATTAATAAATGCAGTAATGAACTTTGCAAATTGAGAGTTTAAAGAAGAGCTGTTAATTTAGTTTTGTCAAATAATCAGTAGAATCTTACATTTTTAAAGTACCAAAAGAGTTCTTGAAAGATCCTTCTCTATGGAAAAGAACATAAAATGCACATTAATAACATCGACCCCACATTAGTGGAGAGGTGGGGTGAGCAGCCTGACTTCTGGGCCTGGGGACCTGCTGAAGCATCTGGAATGTCTGTCACCTGCTGCTGCAACACCAGCACCCACCCCTTGAGTCCAGCCAGAGTCCAGCTTAGACTCGTGCTGTCCCACAGCTGCTAACATAATGAGTTAAAATCAAGTAAAACTTAGCATGCTGTTCCTTTGACACACTAGCCACTTTTCACATGGTTCTGACAGTGTTAGAAGATGCCCATCATCTCAGAGTTCTATCAAACAGCAGTGTTTGGGGACATTCCCCAGCTCTTGCCACCTTATTATATTCCTTAAAAGGTCTCAAAAATAATTTACATGTTTGAATTTTGCTCATAGAATTTCAGCAAATCTGTTCCCTGGAAGCACAGATGCTGTGCTGTTCAAGACTCCAGGATTCATCCTCTTTGACATTTCACTCACCTGGAGCTAACTTAGCAAAGCACCATACACTCGGGGGCTTCAAAAAGAACTTTTATTTCCTCTCAGTTCTGGAAGTTGGGAAGCCTGAGGTCAGGTTCTACTGGCTCAACTCCTACTAAGGGCTATCTTCTGGCTTTGTAGGCAGTGGCCTCTTCCTGGGTGCTCACATGAGGCTCCTTGGTGCACATGGGGGTGCAAGGAAGAAAAAAATAGACGGTTCTCTCTCCTGCCTCTTTTTATATCAGCATGAATCCCGTCACTCAGGAACTCTTTTGAGTCCTAATCACTTTGCAAAGGCCTTATCTCCAAATACCATTACATCGAGGACAGGGTTTTAGTTTATAAGTTTGTGGGGGACATGATTCAGTCCATAGCATTTCCTGTGTTAATTTTCTGGAGCTACAGTTTCAAAGTACCTCCAACTGGGAGATTAAATAAGAGATGGTTATTATCTCACAATTCTGGAGACTGGAAGACTGAAATGGAGATGTCCTCAGGCTTGGTTCCTTCTGAGGTCTGTGAGGGAAGATCTATTCCAGGGCCCTCTCCTACCTTCTGGAAGCCTTGACCTGAATAGGCCTCCTCCCTGTGTCTTTTCATGTTTTCCTCTGTACCAGTTTCTGTGTTGAAAATCTCCCTTTTCATAAGGATGCTAGTCAGTTTGGATTAGAAGCTACCCTAATTAACTCATCCTAACATGATCATCTGCAAAAAGCCTATTTCCCAATGAGATCACATTCACAGGTGCAGCAAGTTAGGACTTGCACAACTTTGGAGGGGTATACTTCAACCTACACCACCTACTTTTCCATGAGGGTTTCCAGAATCATGAAGGACTGAGGCTGAATTGCTAGATGAGGGCCCAGGGCCAGTCTACAAGTATTTTCTGGGTCTCTTAAGCTGAACTAACATCTCCAAGTGGGAGGAGGCTGGCCCAGGGAACAGGAGAGCTCGGAACTCATCCTGCTTTCACTCTGCTCTCAGAGTCTCCTTCAGTGTCTGTGACCAGCCGTCAGAGCTCTTCCTGGGAAACAGTGCTGCAGTGCCAAGACCTGTGCTTCTTCCCTTGTGCTAACGTGCTGAGCTTGTGGAGGGGCCAGGAAGCCCTGCCCTTGGTCCACAGTGGGTGTCGGCTGAATGGAAATGGAACCTGTCAGTGCTGGGTGAATGTGACTGTCCCTAGAGGAGAAGAAGCCATGTACTCCTGCCATGCTGAGCATGGAGGCCTGAAGGAGCCCCTCATCATCAAGTGGGGTAAGAATATGGGCTGCTGAGGTTGGTGGCCCAGGGTGGGTGGCATATTCACCAGAGCAGGGGTTAGGATGAAGACCTGGGATCCAACATGCTGGTGAGGTGGGGAAAGGATTCCAAGTGCTGCTGGTGAACCCAAACATTGTATCTCATTTCAGACTTCTCATCTGACTCTACACGCCCACAACCCTCTGCTTGGGTGTTCATTTTGGCAGGTGTTTGGACCATACTTGGCATTGCAGGTCTCTGGGAAAAGCTAATCTAATCAGGTAAAGAAAGATGGGGTTTATTGTCTACTACCGAGTCAGCGGCTGCAGTCCTTGGTTCCAATCTCCCATTGTGGAGTAAGCACTCAGCCCTGGCCACTTACTTGTTCAGGAATAGGGTATTGAAGGTCTTTAATTCTCCAGGAACAACATCTACAAAAAGGAAGGAAAGAAAAAGAGAGGAGAGAAGAAGAGGGGGAAAGTATTTTACATACTCCTCCTGTTCCTATCTCTCACTTTTCATCCACTCTTGCAGGAAACCTTCTTAATGAGCCAAATGGGTATTTTTGGTTAAAAGTGTTATTCTCAAAGTATATTCTACACATGCATTTTTCATTCACTAACTTAATGTTCTGTGGACTCTTCTAAGTGACTGGGTGGATATTGACTCTACTGCTTACCACTCCATGCAGTGCAATTGATCCATTTTACCTCTCCATTCTCCATGAAGGATGCCAATCTTCCCACTTCTTGTCATAGCAGGTGGGGAGAGGGTAGCAAATGCAGAGGGTATGCCTCCTTTGTTATTATTTGTCCTGTTAGGATTTAGATATGAAGTGTCCCCCCAAAAACTCATTTGCTGGAAACATGACCCATAACATAGCAATGGTCAGAGATGAAAAGATTGGAATAAGAGAGCTGTAACTGCATGAGTGGATTAATCCATTTGATCACTTGAATCTTTGAATGGACTATTAGGTGGTAACTGTAGGCAGGTTGGTCATGGTAGGAGGAGGTAGGTCACTCAGGGCATGTGATTGGGGATTGATTATATCTTGAGGAGCAGGGCCCTCCTCGTGCTCCCTCTCTGCTTCCCTGCCCCCATGAGCTGACAGCTTTCCTCCACCACACCCTTCTACCATGACCTTCTGCCTCACCTCATGCCCAGAACAATAGGCTGAACCTCTGAAATCATCAGCTCCCCAAAAACTGTTTCTCCTCTAAGTTGTTCTTATCATGTATTTTGATCACAGCAATAAAAAGCTGACTAACAAGTCACTGGTTACTTCGTGATCCCTGGTAATTATTTCTCACAGAATTTCAACACATAATTGAAGAACCTATTTTTCCCCCACAGGATACATGGTATATGATCATTACTATTGTTTATAGCATAACTTTACACACACCTATTAATTTACTTGAAGTAGGAATTTAAATATGCTGTTTAAACAAGTGTTGAATATGGGCTGTATCCCCCCCCCCATAGGGTAGGAAAAAAGATTAGGCCAATGATGCCCCAAGGGCTTAACACCAACATAATACACAAATATTTACACTAATTAGACAGATAGCTATTACAGTATTACCAGGGAAACAAGTCATTAACTGAGACAGCCAGAATGCAGATCCCTTAACAATAAGTGTTGGCGAGGGTGTGGGGAAAAAGGCACATTTGTACACTGCTGATGGGATTGAAAATTGGTGCAGCCACTCCAGAAAGCAGCATGGAGATTCCTCAGAAAACTTGGAATGGAACTACCATTTGACTCAGTTTTTCCTCTCCTTGGCATAAACCCAAAGAACTGGAGCATACTATAGTAACACAGCCACATCATTGTTGATAGCAGCTCAATTCACAATAGCTGAACTATGGCACCAGCTTAGGTGCCCTTCAGCAGATAAAAGGATAAAGAAAACATGATACATATACACAGTGGCATATTACTCAGCCATAGAGAAGAATGAAATTATGGTATTTACCAGTAAATGGATGGAACTGGAGACCATAATGCTAAGTAAAATAAGCTAACCCCAAAAAACTGAAGGCAGAATGTTCTCTGATGTGTGGGTGCTGACTCACAATAAGCAGGGATTGGGGGGATAGCATTTCACTGAATTAGACAAAGGGGAATAGAAGGAAGGGAGAGGAGGTGGGAAAAGGAAAGTAGAATGAATCAAACATCACTTTTCTATGTTCATATATGAATGTACAACCAATGTAACTCCACACCATGGACCATAAGAATAGGAAGTTATACTCCATGAGAAGTTATGATATCTCAAAATGCATTCTACTGTCATGTGTAACTAAAAAGAACAAATAAAAATGGTTTAAAAAAAATTCAGACCCTTTAGGAAAGTATTGCTGTAGGATATAATGAGAGTTGCTGAGTTGAGCCATGGTGCAAGAGTCCTTTGTGAAAAACAACATCTGCAAAGGCCATTTGATGATTCAGAAAACTGGTGTCCTTTTTGCAGTTTGAGGGATGGAAGGAACACTGTAACATGCTGACATTTCCTTTGTAAGCTGTTTAAAGGAGTTCCACTGGTGAGTTCCGAGAGTTGACACTGAGAGGGGCCAGGGAAAGCAGCACTGTATGAAAGGCTCCAAATTTCTATGAAAAGAAAGGGAGTGTCCAGTGTGATGGTGAATCTGGATTGTCAACTTGATAGACAGCGATGCCTAAGGTTAAGAGGCTTCTGGGTATGTCAGTGAGGATGTTTCCAGAGATGATTGGCAAGGTTGGGGAGGAACCGCCCTGAATGTGGGCAGCACAGTCCCACAGGCTGGAGGTCTGAATGGGACAAATGGTGGAAGAAGGACATCAAGGCAGAGGCAAGCCCAATTCTTGAACTGGTGCTTCAGTTGCTGTTGTGATCACCTGATGACTTTGGACTCCAGCTCCTTCACTCTTCCAAAGTGGACTCTGACCAGTGATTTTCCAGGCCTTCAGCCTTGGGCTGGGCCTGCCTTATTGGTCCCTCTGGTTTTGAGGCTCCAGATTCTTGGACTGAGCAGCTCCTGGTTCTTCCAGCTGTCCAGCCTGCAGAAGGCCATTGTGGGACTGTCCCGCCTCTGTTCATGTGAGCCACTCTAATAAATCCCCCCTCTATAATCATATATATGGATATAGTACACACACACATACAGCTGGGGACTTCTGATTAGACAGGATCTTATTTCTCTGCATCTTTTGGCACTAGTAAGCATTCCATGGCTTCCAGAGCACGACTGATAGCTCCTTTTTTGTTTATATGTTAACTTTTGAATTCCCTTCCTAAAAGTTCAATGTTGGCATTGGCCAGTGTTTTAGTTCTGTTTTCCATTGTCAGAGAAGAAGAGGAAGAAGAAGAGGGAGAGGGAGAGAGAGATCAAGAGGGAGGAGGATAAGGAGGAAGAGAAAGGAGAAGAAGAAGAGAGAGGAGAAGGAGAAAGGGGGAGGGAGAAATGCATTTGTTTCTTATAGTCTTGAAATATACACAAAACATAGACAGTGACAAGCAGATCCTAAGATTCATGTGGAATTCAACAGACCCTAAATAGCTAAAACAATCTTGAAAAAGAACAAATTTAGAAAGATCAAACTTTTGGATTTCAACTTAGTTTAAAGGTACAATAATCTGGATAGTGTAGTCCTGACATAAACATAGGCATATAGATCACAGGAATAAAATTGATGTTCCAGAAGTAAATCCTCACATTTACAGTCAGTTGATCTTGTTCTCTCTCTTTTTTTTTTTTTTTTTTGGAACTGGGGATTGAACATAGGGGTACTTTACCACTGAGCCACATCCCCAGCCCTTTTTACAATTTTTATTTTAAGAGAGGTCTTACTAAGTTGCTGAGACTGGCTTTGAATTTGTAATCCTCTTGCCTCAGCCTCCCCAGTGACTGGGATTACAGTAAAGTCCACTGGTTTTTGACAAGGATGCCAAAATAATTAGATGAAGAAAAAACATCTTCTCAACAAGGGTGGCAGGACAATAGACTCCCCCTACTCTCCCCACCCCCAAGAAGAATGCAATTGTACTCCCACCCACTCTGTCAATCAGAGGTAGAGAACCAGGAAAGCCAGGTGTGCTGGAGTCCCATCTGAAGCCTGAGAAGCCGGTAGGGAGTCCGCTGGTAGAAGTCTTTGCAATGGTTTGGAGGAGGTTTGTGCCCACCAAGACTCACAGCTTCAACATTTAGTGCAGCAATACCAGGAGGTGAGCCTTGTGAGGTTATTAGATAACAGGGTCTCCACTTTCATGAATGGACTCATGTTTGCCTACAGACGCTGGTTTAGGTTTCTGTCACAGCTGATGAATGGAAAAATAAAATGTGGCGTGTGGTAAGTGTGGTACGCTTACCATAAAATATAAAAACATTATCTTAAATGGAAGCAGTCACACAGGGGCACATACACACTCAGGGGCACATACACACAACAGAAACAAAAATTGTATGTTGTATGATTCTCTGTGTGTGAAATGTTCTGTACAGAAAGAAAATGCATTAGTGATTGTCCAGGGCTGTTGGTGAGGGAGGGAGAAAGGAGGGACTTGGAAGATTATGACTATAGAATAGTTTCTTTTGGAGGAGGTGGAAAATGTTCTAAAATTGATTGTGGTGATGGTTGTACACTAAAACCCACTGACTTACATCTTAAATAGATGAATTTGTGGTATATGAATTCTATCTCAATTAAGCTATCACAAAAAATAGGAAAAACAACCCCAGTGTACATATAATTTTCTGAATCCTGTTTTATTTATGTGCCTACAATTTAGAGACTATGATTTCCAATTTTAATTTCTTCAATTGCAAAATTTTCAGCATGCTTAGAAATATTTTAAGCATAATTCTTCAACTTTATTGGGAAGGTTGAGGGAAGCTTTAAAAATCCTAGCTCGCACATATCAATTAAATCGGAGTATCTGGAGGTGGGAGCAGGGTGTAAATATGTTTAATGATTTTCCAAGTAGCTCCCATCGATGTGTTAGGACATTTGTAACACACTCCTCAGATAATCTGTAAATTTGGTAAAGGTATTTCAGTGGTATGTAATTTGCTAATCAAAAAACAAAATGAAGTTTTCGCTGAAAAAACATAGATTGGTTATAAGTCAGATAACAAGATTAAACTAAATTTGAGATAAAAGTTTTGAAAATTCATCATCAAAGTTTTGAATTAATTAACATTTAAATATTGAGCATTTAGATGGGAACATGGTGACATAAACTTCCTGGTCGGCAACACCCGCTCAAGATGTGAGGATTCACCCAGTGGGCACAAGCAGGTGCTCTTGCCTGCAAGCGGAAAAGCCCAGGCCCTGGGGCCAAGCGTCCTTTTCCCTGTGACCTGTAAGGGGTCTCTCCAGGAAGCTCCTCGAGCACCACAGGCCTTGGCGATGGCCCGGTGTGACTTCTGGAGCCATTGCTTCCCTGCCCGCACAGAGGCGGAGTCCCAGGCGCGGCCAGGGGACATGGGCCCGAGAGCGCGGCGCACGCTGCCGCTCCTGCTGCTGCTGCTGCTGCTGGTGCGCACCGTGGTCCCGCAGGGGCGACTGCCGCGTGAGTGCGGGGCTGCGGTCGCAGTGCGGGCGGGAGGGGCGGCCCGACGGGCTTTGCTCGGCTCGTGGGAGTTTGCTGGCCGCGAGAACTTAGCCCGGCCCGCCACCCGGTTCGCCACCCGGTCCGCCACCCGGTCCGGCCGGCGCAGTCTCCCGCCCACACCCCGGGAGGGAGCGCCCGCCCCCGAGGTGCAGGCGGGGTCCCTGGACCCAGCGCGCGTCCCCCTCCCCGGGCCCCGCGTCCCTGCTCTGGGTGGCGTTTGGAACCTCTCGCTCGCTTCCTCCCCGACGGGACGCTTCGGATTGAAGCTCCCAGTTCCCCGCTTGGGCCGCCCGCGGCCTGGGGCCCGCGGCTCTCCACGGTTCTGTCGTCCCTAACGCTGGCTGTCCCCGTTGGTGCGTCATCGCCTCGGGACCTTGGCCAGGGCGCTGCTCGGCGTTTCCGCGCCCGGGCGCGGCGCAGATTGGCAGCCACCCGCGGAGGGACCCCGGGGCGCGGGCGGGACTCCACTCTCTGCCGTCGCTGTGAGCGGGTGGCGGCCCCGCCCCGGGAGCCCCCTGACCCGTCCTGTCTCGGGTCCTCCCGGGTCCCTGGCGCTGGTCCTCCTGTTGGAAATACC